TGTCAAACAGGATCATCGACCTTGTTGGGGTAAAAGGTACTCCTAGCATTCAAACAATGTTAAGTCTTAAGAAAAAAAATTCTAATCAAGGTCAATCTCTGACTAAATACCCACTAGATTGAGGCGCAAGTAGTAAACTGGACATATGCATACACAATTTGGGGTAAAAGTAAATGCTAAAACCAACTCACTCCGATCAATTAAGATGCAAGAAAACATGTTACCCATTAGACCAAGCAAAGACATTTCATACTTTTCCAGAGCGAAAAATGATTCTCCTAGATTTAAAATATCATGATCAAACACTTCCCAAATAAAACGATCCTCAGTTTTATATAACAGCCAAAAAAATCTGTCATATGGAGATCTGTGGTCTATTAGTCTTTCACATAAAATAGGATAAAGGCAGCAAATTCCAAAGCACTGAAGTAACCAGTTCACAATGAATTTCTAGTATTCAATCGAATTTGGGGATAGCAGGTTTACCTCGATGACCTGACCAGTTAGAAATCACGGATTTAGATCCCTTCCATTACCCCTCTTCTCTTCAATTCCCTCCAATACAGTAATACATGGGTGACGTGTAAAATTTAAATTTTAATGGACAAAATATTTCCTCATTCATTTTGTTGTTGGAGGAGTGTTGATCATTGTTAAGGAATTTTCTCGCATGAAAAAAAACTTGATCATTGAAATTCAAAATCTTATACACGTCACTCATCTAACCTTGTGTTGGAGGAAATTGGAGGAAAGGGAAAATGGAAGGAATCTGAATCCAGAAATCACATGGACACAAACTCTACCACAACATACCTACTGTGGAAGAATCTTCATATAGATACACTGAAGTCTGGGTCATCAAGAGCTAATGAAACTTGAGATAAACATGGAAGAATTGCCAACTAATATAAAGGATAAACTTTAGACAAATCACCATTAAAGCCAAAACATAGACATACAATTAAAAGGACAGGACAACATATTACCCTTCAAATCAGTATCAAAGTTAAACATTGGCAACACTAACATTTAAATTCTATGAGACTGTACTGATAATGCACAAAAAGTGTACAGTTCAGAATAATTAATGAAATAATCAATAGTAAGAAGCAAATATTGGGTCAACACACAGATGTATAGTAATTCGGTTAAGAGGACCTACTCCACTTTCGAAGGCAGCAACGATGGCCGGTGACTTTTATTAATAAAGATGAGAGAGAGAGTGATGAGAATCGTTTAGGAATTGGATAGATATTATAGATTAATTATGATAGTTATTTAGATACTTTTAATATTTAGTTTTTAAGTAATTTTTTTAAACTTTTAAGAATTTAGTTGTCATTTTGATTATTTATTTATTTTAGGGTTTGTGATCTCCTTATATATATAAGATTTGTGAATTCCTTATATATATAGGAGATACATATTTGTTGAGGTACTATATTTTGATTATTGATTATTGATATTGAATCTTCTTCCTAAAATTCTCTCTCTATTCTCATCCCCTTCTTCTTCTTCTTCTTTTCTCATCCCTTTCTTCTTTCCTTCTCATTCATAATTCTTCCCTAATACGATTTACATCAATTTGGTATCAGAGATATTACGATCTACATCAATTTGGTATCAGAGTCCAACTTCGATTGAAAAAAAAAAAAATTTAAAAAAATAAACGAAGTTACTGTTCACGGATGCACTGTTCATCAAAAAAATACTGTTCATCTAAAAACGTTGTTCATCAGTAAAAGATAAAAAAAGGAGGAAACAAAATTTTTTTTATCATATTTTGTCGCTGTAACAGTAGCCTAGTGGGTTAAGTTTTGAACCAAAATTCCCAGCATATTCAGCAAATTATAGAAACATCTCCATAAGTCCCAAAAATTGCAGACACATCCCAAGAGGTCTTCAGAAATTACAGAAACACCCCAAAAAATTTTAAAAATTGCAGAATCATTACCAGAAAATTTTAAAAATTACAGAATCACCATTAGAAGTTTCAAAAATTACAAAATCTCCCCCCCAGAAGTTCCAGAATTACAAAAAACATTCCCAACAGATCCATAAAATTACAGAATCATTCTCAAAAAGTTTTAGAATTTCTTCTTGATTTTGGTATGCATACTCCTATAGAAATTTGAAACTGATATTTTTATTCATTGAAAAATTAAAAAAATTTGCAAAAAATCTAAATTATTTGTCAATTACATTCTTGAACTTGTTTTGGCATCATTCCCTTATTCCAAGAGTCACTCATGAGTTTCTCTAATATGCATGTTTCAAGAATCTCTCCTCAATGTCATCATCATAGGAAATCAAAGAATGTTTACATGGAATCAACCCATATGACCAAACGAATCAAAGATCCTTCCACATTTTGTGATACTCTGGATCCCAATAAGTTCTTGGATTGGTTAGTTAATTTAGAATAATATTTTGATTGGCATGGCATGTCGGATTCCCATTGCGTCTGTTTTGCTAAATTGATGTTGAAGGGTTCCGCCAAGAAGTATTGACAAACAATCCAAAGAAGCCTAGACCCCTTAGGAGAATCACCTATTACTTGGGTTGAAATGAGATATAAATTGAAAGAGAAGTATTTGCCTACTTCCTATATGGATCAAGTTTATGACCAATGGTTCAATCTTAGACAACATTCTTCTAGTGTCTCTGATTACTTTGTCCAGTTTGATTATCTCATGTACTTGTGTGACATTGTTGAAGAACCTTGGACAATTGATCAGTTTATTTTTGGGTTGAAACAAAAAATTAGTAGGGAGGTTAAACAATACACTTTTAATATGTTAGTTGCAGCCTATCAATATGCTCTAAAGGTTGAGAGATTTCATAAGAAATCCAACTATACCTTGATGAGTTCTCAATCACAGCCTGCTGATAGGACATCTTCCAATTTTAATTCCATCACATATGAGTATCATGATTACTTAAACGATGTCCATGTTGTTTCTGTATGCTTTCCTAATTCGAATGTGGAAAAGGATTTAAATATTTTAAGAAAAAAATGTTACTCATATGAACTTCTAACTCCCTTATTTAGTTTCACCATATCAGAGTCTTCCTCCTTTGCACTCACAAGAGTCCATTTCGAAAGAAAGTGTGCGTGAGTCTTTGTTTGTGTCAATTCTTGAACCATCATTAATCTTGAAAATTGTGGAAAAGTCTGTTGAGTCTACACCTATGCAAGATATTAAACCAATCGAGTCATTTATTACAGAATCTAATAGTGACTATTCTATGTCTACTTGTCCAAGTCATCGTGACTTTGCTACAGATTCTTTCCAATCTGCGATTGTTGACATTGTTCTGGATTCTGCCTCACTTGAGAGTGTTAACTTTGATTCTTTGCTTATTGTTAAGTGTTCAATTAAGTCTGTACTTTCTTATTTTCAGCACCAAGGTGTTATAGTTACTTCTTTGTTACTGATGTCTTGTCCCATTGAATGTCTATTATTCAAATCTAATGGAAATTGTTTTGCTATTCTTGAGTTTGGATCTAATGCTTATTTGCTTAATTTTTCATTGAATGTTAATATTAGTCCAGATTTTTATTGGAAGGACATGCTGCTTAATCGAGGTACTCCAGAGCCTCCTATTTTATTGGCAGGTGTTTATACAGATGGAGATTCTTGCATTTATCCTAGTCGATGGAAAGAAGTCGATGGTTCTTTCATTCTAGATGAGACATTATGTCATCTTCATCTTGCTCTCTTGGGGAACTTCTACTTTGAACACTCTCCGGAGGAGAGTTTTTTTCAACCGGAGGAGAATGATAGAGATCGTGTAGGAATTGGATAGATATTATAGATTAATTATGATAGTTATTTAGATATTTTTAATATTTACCTTTTAAGTAATTTCTTTTAACTTTTAAGGGTTTAGTTATCATTTTGATTATTTATTTATTTTAGAGTTTGTGATCTCCTTATATATATAGGATTTGTGAATTCCTTATATATATAGGGGATACATACTTGTTGAGGGACTACACTTTGATTATTGATTATTGATATTGAATCTTCTTCCTAAAATTCTCTCTCTATCCTCATTCCCTTCTTTTTCTTTTTTTCTCATCCCTTTTTTCTTCCCTTCTCATCTCTAATTCTTCCCTAATACGATTTACATAAATTTGGTATTAGAGCTATCATGATCTACATCAGAGAGTGTCAAGGAGAGCTTTGGGAGAGGTGTGGTAGCTATGAGAGAGATAACTTTGTGTGGGATGTAGAGGTGTGTCCCTCTTATAGAGAAGGCTTATAATTTATAAGCACAGAACCTTGGATAAGGCGATAGCGATGACGTGATGAGTAGAGTAATAGCTTATAGAAGAGGATAACTATAACTACGATAAGTACAATTAGAGATAGTCTCGATTTTCAAGAGTGGCTATCTTGACGATTGCTCTCCACGTGCACTAATCTTCCTGAACTCTTTAAACTTTCCTTGAACTTTAAACTGAGTCAAATTTACGAGTTGGACTTGACCTGCATTTTAGTTGATTTAAACTTACTTGATTAATTAGGTCTGAACCCAAAGGGATTTGGGCTCATCATGCACCAGCATTAACAGCTAAAGTAAAAGCCAAATAACATTAACACAAACCAAAAAAGGGTAAAACAGCAGCTTCAAATTGACAGACGACAAAGTTAATAATTTAAAAACTCAACAACGCATATCACTTTCATACAACAAAATTCTACCTTGTTATCTTCAAACCCATCAACCTTCCCATGACCACATATGCAATTGTTGTGAACATGCCAAGATAACAACTAATACTACAATAAGCAAAAAAAAGGAAACCCAATGCCTTCCATAAAACCATTTAACATAGCAATTCAACATGTTTGTGACTAGAAGCAATGATATCGATTGAAACCTGAAGTAAGACGATTGACAAAACAAAATCATAATACTGACGAATATAAATCGTCCAAGAGGTTCAATGGGACCTCACCTACAAGTATGAGAAAGCAACGAACCCTTCCTTACTCTGACCTATTCGCAAACCTTTCAACCTTATCATCATTCAGATTAATCCCAACCATAGCCTCGCCCAAACCACAGCTCACATCCGCCAGAACCTCCGGATCACTATAATGCGTAACGGCCTGCACAATCGCCCGAGCCCTCCTCGCCGGATCACCGCTCTTAAAAACCCCAGACCCAACAAAGACACCATCGCATCCGAGCTGCATCATTAAAGCAGCATCCGCTGGAGTCGCCACGCCACCGGCGGCGAAGTGCACCACCGGAAGCCTCCCCAGTTGCTTCGTTTGCATAACCAAATCATAGGGTGCCTGAATCTTCTTTGCAAAAGTAAACACCTCATCGTCGTCCATGTTTCGGAGAACACGAATGTCCCCCATCACAGACCTCACGTGACGGACGGCCTCGATAATGTTTCCGGTGCCCGCCTCGCCTTTGGTGCGAATCATGGCCGCACCTTCACGAATACGTCTGAGAGCTTCTCCGAGGTTTCGGCAGCCACACACAAAGGGAATGCGGAAATTATGTTTGTTGATGTGGTTATCTTCGTCGGCCAGAGTGAGGACTTCGGACTCGTCGACGTAATCAATTCCGATGGCTTCGAGGATTTGGGCCTCCACGAAATGGCCGATCCGGGCCTTAGCCATGACGGGTATGGTGACTGCCTGCTTGATTTCCTTAATGAGTTGTGGATCCGACATGCGAGCCACGCCGCCTTGAGCTCGGATGTCGGCGGGGACGCGTTCAAGGGCCATGACGGCGCACGCGCCGGCTTCTTCGGCGATGCGTGCCTGCTCGGCGTTAACGACGTCCATTATGACGCCGCCTCGGAGCATCTGGGCCAGGCCTACCTTCACAGAGAAAGGGGATTTCTTTGTGGTCTCGGTGATTGCGCCGTTTCCGTAAACTGTTACCACACCGGTTCCGTCCATTTTGAGAAATAAAAGAACCGGAGAGAGAGATTATGGGAAACCCTGATGTAAATTGGGGAAAGGGGGAGAAGATTTATAGGAGAAGGGAGAGGAGTGAGTGAAGGGGTGGAGGACAACGTGCGTCCAGTGGCTGGGAATTCTGCGTCTGTGGCTCTTCGAAATATTTCTAATTTTGCAGTATAAAAGTATATTATGTGAAATAAATTAGGCAGAATTATACTACCCTAAAAAATTATAAGATTCTCATTTTATACTTTTAAAATTAAATTTTTTATATTATATTCTCAATATAACAACAATATTATAATATGACCATTTTATTAATTTTTTTATTAGTGTCAATGAATTAGTTTTTAACGAAAAAAATAATAAAAACTAATTGAAAAATTACATTGCAACATTTTTAATACATTAAGAGCGAAGTATTATAAATTTAATATTTAAGAGTATAAAATAGAAATTTTAAAATCTTTTAAGATTTAAAATGTGAAAAGTCCAATAAATTATAATTCTAATTTTATTACGTAAGGCCCTATTAGAAATTTACGAAAATAAGAACAAATTGTACTTTATTAAAATAAATTTGTTTCGTACAAAAAAAAAAAAACAACTACTCCCATCTCTACCTTTTATCATTACCTTCGTATAAGAGCAAATGGTTTGATTTGAAAAAAATTACTAATTCTTAATTTTTAAAATAATCTTTCCACAATAATTAAGATGTATAATTAAAAAAATTTAGCCACATTTCTTTTAATTTATTATATCTTTAAAGACATTTGTTTTATTATCTAAAATATCACTACCACCCCTTCTAATTTGTATTTAAATATTACCGACAATCTCTATCATTCAATTACTATTTCTAATAAAAAGAATATTTAAAATATTAAAATTACCCCTATATAAATCTCAAACAATTTTTTTATACAAAATTCGATTAAAATTCGAGTCGATTAAAAGTCATTTTTTTACATTTTAAAATTTGAGCTGATTAAAACATATTAAAATTTGATTCGAATTGATTAAATTTTATTTTTTACGTATTAAAATTGGAGTCTATTAAAAAAAAATTATGTATTAAAAATTGAATCAATTTGAGCTTAACTTGAACTATTAGTGTCGACTAAAATTCGATTCGAGTCGATTAATATTTATATTTTTTTATTTATTAAAATTTATGTCAATTAAAATTTGATTCAAGTTAAATAAAATTTGTTTTTTACGTATTAAAATTTGTGTTAATTAAAATTTATATTTTTTTACATATCAAAATACAAGCCGATTAAAATTCCCTGTCAATTAATTAAAATTTTGATTTGACTCGATTAAAATCAAATTTTAATTAATCTGAATTTTAATATGTAAAAAAATTCATAAAATATAAGAGATCTCATTGAATATATGTCTATTTAGAAGGAGTGTGGATGAAGTTATTCTTAAAATATATCATGAGTAATTTAATAATATTTTATTTTCATTAAGACCTTTAATCTGACAGAGAAGTTAGTAAAAATTCAAAAACTAGAGAGGCCGTAATTGAAAATATGGTAAATTAAAAGGATGTGTTGAAATTTTTTCTTAAACAAATTTAAAAATTTCGCTGAAAAAAAAACATTTCATCATAAAGATTCAAGCATAGGACGACCACAAGGGGTTTGGCACTTTCCAATTATAAAATAATTAGAGTATCTTTCAAAATTTTTTATTTTTTTGCATGGTGAGTTTTAAGGTTATTAAATTTTAAATTATTTTAAAATTTAAAATATTTATTTAAATTTAAGATAAAGATCTGGTAGAGACTAGAGGGAAACCCGAGCAGCAGGCGTTAAAGGGAGGCGGCGGGAGAGTCGTGGTGACCCGTGAAAGTGTCGCCACGGTCTTCTTGTTACATCATACTGCTTGTCTGCTAATGACAGAGAAATAACTATTTTTTTGAAAAGAGGGAGAATGATAATAAATATAAATATAATAATTTATAAGGTGATCAAAATGAATCGTGGCATTTGGTAAGACCATGCTCCAATGACTAATCCTTCACAAATTACACTTTATACCCTTTTTATGTGTAACTGCGTTACAAGAATACCTCTGCAGTTTTTTGTCAAGGTATGAAATGTGACTCAAGTGTAATATAAGAAAACTCAAATAAGTAATCTGATATTGTTGAACTACTCTATATTTGTTTTTTCAATAATAAAATATAAAAAAGAGATAAATAGAATAATTTTAAACATTAAGTAGAAAAAATGATATTTGATAAAATTATAGGCGGATAAAAGATAATTATCCTAAAAAAGCTGAAGCGGTGGGCGAGGAAATGAATGAAAGCAAAATCGAAGTCCTCCACTCCTTCCCGATGCCTTCTTTCTCCCACAAAAAAACATTAAATTAATCTTCACGTGAAAAATGCACTTTCTCAGTTAAAAAGTGTTTATTTTTTAAAAAATAAAATAAAAAATAACTAATCAGTATTACTTTTCTCCACAAAAATACATTAAGTTCTATTATTTTTATTTTATATCAATGAATTTTTTTTTTGATATTTTATGTTAATGAAGTCCTATAATTCATAAATATTATATTTTGTTCCAATTTTATCATTTTCTTGAAAAATATTGGCACCTATAGTATTGAGGCTATAACAATAGTCTTCTTTTTATTCATAAATATTCCACCATCTTGCATTTTAATTTATGTGTTACCTACTTGCTAGTTTTATAAAATATCGAATTATTAATTATTTTTAGAATTGTCATTATAAGATGCAACAGAGGAATTTGGACCCTATGTATTCTCGATGGATAAGAGTTTCTTGATAGAAACTCTAGTGTTTTGTGCTTTTAGAATTACAATTAAAGTGAACAAAAATTCAGTATTCATACCTCTGGTTTTTCTCTCTTTATGAAATGTCTCAAATATTGAAAATAATTCTTAATGAGTTTCAACAAAAACTAAACATTATTTCTAGAAAAAAAAAATTAATTCGTATAAAAAAGTTATGACAACTGATCTGATTCATTCTAAAAAAAATATAAAATTGAGCAACATAACAATTGATGTACAACAATAATGTATTCTTTTAACTCGGACAATTTTTCAACGAAGGCAAAGAGAGAACAAAAAGGCAACAAAATCTACTAAGAGAACTAATTTAAGTTTGACAAAAAGGCAACAATAATATAAGTTAATCTCCAATACATATAAATTATCTTAGTCGATGTAAGAATTAGGAGTTATAGTCAGAAGAGAACCCGTCACCGTAGTGACTAAGGGAATAAATGATAATTAAAAAGTCTACATGATACAAGTAAAAAATAGAAGAGTTTTGATAAATACAAGTTAAGGACAAAATTGAATTAAAAAGAAATTAGGATTTTATTGATATAAAATATCAAAAATAGGACTTCATTAATATAAAAACAAAATAATAGGATTTAATGAATTTTTGAAGAAAAAAAATAATACTTATTGATAATTTTTTTCAACAAAATATAAACATAGGGTAAGTAATATAATTTTAAATGTAAAGAAGATAAAATAGTGTCAGATAAAATTATAGGAGATATAAAAGATAATTATCCTAAAATAGTTGAAGTGGTGGGCAAGGAAAGGAAGGAAAGCAAAATCAAAGTTCTCCACTCCTTCCTGATTTCTTCATTCTTCCACAAAAAAAACACTAAATTAATCCACATAAAAAATGCAAAATCGTTGTCCGTTAAGAGAGAGAGAGAGAGAGAGAGATCAGACACCATGGTCCAGCTCCTGTTTGGCACATGACAGTCCTTTCTTCTCCATTTCCTACCCCCAAACCAATCTCCTCATTTCACCATCCACTTGACTATAGTTAGACCACAAAACAAGAGATTGGGACACAATCACTCTCAACTTTTATTTCACATGACAGCCCTTTCTTCTCCATCTTCCACCCCCAAACAAGGATAGGAATTCTTTGTTTTTATTTTTTATTTTTGTCTTTGTTTGGGGTTGGGGTGGGAATTTTTTTTTTTTGGGGGGTGGGGGGCTAAATCTTAAGCACTGCCATTATACATTAGTTTTCTTAGTAAAGGGAACACGAGACTTGAGCTCCTGTGAATTTATGTAGGAATCCATATACTCTGTTGTCTGTATTTCTTGTGAATCACTTCGTTTTCAAGAACAAACTGATACAGAAACTACAGATCATTTTTGTTAATAACTAGCCAGGGCACACACGTTCCTTTGACTCATACTGTGTTTTCAGCTATCCTATGATTTTGCCCTCTTCTTTTCTATCTAACTCTTCTTGTACTTGCTATATCTCGAGGCTGAAGAGTGCATGAAGGTGCTGGCGAAGGGAGGGAAGTCGACTTTTTTAGGAATTGCCTTTGCTTTTCATCCGCAAAGCAGAGCAGGGAATCCACACATATTTCTTGGGCAGATGAAGGTAGAACAGGTGTGAAGTCCTGCAGCTTTGAATACTCTGTTATGAGATGATACATGTAATCATAAACACGTCGCATGCTCAAGTTTTCCATGAAATCCTGTGCTCCTCTTCCTATCTTCTCAGCCTGTTCAGCCAAATTTAGAAAAAAGATAAGTTCCACTAACTATTTGGAAGAGATTATTTAAGCTGCAACTAAACCTACTCCCCCATGGCAGTAGGAAAAAAAATTTGTTGTCTACAAGTGAAAAAGGTGGCTAGAGTTAGAAAAAGAAAAGAAAAGAGATAAGTGGCTAGAGCAAATGTGTGGTAAGGATGGGTGAAAGCATGCCCCAAATGGGTTTGTAGTTCTCAGTCAAAATCAAACTTTATGGACCAGCATAAAAACCTGCATTGTCACACCCTTGCACGGGCAAAGCATTTGAAATAGCTGAGGGTAGTTCCCGAACAACAACATTAGCTTCTTGAGAATATATCCTAAGGTTGTTCTGTTCTCATGTCCTCATAAACTCTCTCTCTCTCTCTCTATACTAGTGTAATAGCTCAGTCGAGGCTGCGTTGTTAATTTAATATTACATTTATTTATTTTTCCTTTTTTGGCTGTCTTGCCGGGGGGAGACTGGGGGGAAGTTGCAGCAAGCATCTGGTGGTCTTTTCAGGCTTGTCCAAGCAAAGCGCAGAAGCCATCACCATACCATTCACTAAATTGTCATATCAATTTAAGTCAAGTAGCAAACTGAATAGGAAGACCAAACATGCCATAAGAAAAGAGTGAAACTGTACCTCGGATGGATGGGCATTACCCCAGTCAACAGCAAACTTTATAGATCTGCATAAATCATCAAGAGGGATAGGCCAATAATTTTTCTTGGGAATGAGACCACGACTAAAGAAGTCTTCATATTGTGGAGATATTATAAGAGGAACCGAACCACATGACATAATATATTTCAAGCTGACGGACCAGGCATATCCTTCAGCATAGATCTTGTACCTGCATAGTTAAAACCAACAAATCAACTAAAATATCAAGTGCATTCTCCACTCAAGGTCAAGGAAGATAGATCGAATAACGCATGAATACCTAGTTTAACAAGTACCACGACTCAAGCATAACACACAAAAACCGTAGTTGAACACCAAGTCACACATACAATTATGAAATCTTAATCATGATCAAAAAATTAATTTAATTTTGCTCTCATAATTTACAACAAATAGACCGCCAAACCTACAATAAATAGCATGCAGTTTAGTCCCCATTAATGGGGGTCTGGGAGGAATATATTGGATGTAGAATTAACATTTAACAATATTTGCACCAAGTGATCAACAAAAATGTCTGATTAGAATAATTAGGGTTTGAATTGGGATCGCCAATTTACATACTCATGCAACATGAAAATGTGAAGTATGGAAACAATGATTACCTCATTTGAAACTTTAAGGTGGGGTTGAAAAAGTAAAATCAGTTAGCAGATTAAAATGGTAAATTGAAAGCTTCTCAAATCAATGCTTTGCATTTTTGGTTCTACTGTTTCTATCTGAAACCAAATCAATAAAAGGGAACAAAAAAATTCAGTTTATACACCAAACACCATCCAAATTGTTTTGAACAAGATCTGGACATCTTCATAAACCATGATGTTATGCTAGTTCGCAGTATGGCAATGTCACACTCCAAAGAGTGACCTACTGATGATTGCACTGTTTTGATAGTTTGGACTGCTTGAATCCACCTTTTGCTGCTTCACCCCAATCCTGAAATTCATCAACAAAAAAATTGCAATTTAGTGGTCCAGAAACCGTTATATTGACATTAATTTTTGAAGAAGTCATTCAAACAATGCTTGAATTTCAAGTCATTTACCTGACGCACAATTTGAGCTCTCCACTGCCTAGTGTCATTGCATTGCAGCAACTCTGTACGAATAGGAGAATTAACATCGGGGTTTCCTTTCCAGTATGCAAGAGGCCACTTCTTCGGCCAACTTTGAGCTTGTGAACCACGTTTAATATTTTTAAATTCTTCATCCCAGGGTCCTATGTTTATCTCTGACCTGTAAGAATCATTTATGATGCTGCTGTTGGGTTTAAAATAAATTACACTCTGGCATTTATAGCCTAAATGAACCAGACCTTATGCAGCTCCTACTGCCTGTTGCAAATCACACAGTAATAATTAACAAGTCCAGTCATTCATTCTACAAAGTAAAAAACATTTGATAGCCACCTTGAACATTCTTACAGGAGCAAGTGCAAGATGGACACCAAACCTTAACACAACAAAATATGCAGTATTCAGACATGGGCTAGTGGCAAAGTTGCAGCAGGGTAAGTAGACGCAATCGTTAATGTCATTCAAATTGTCTGACAAAATAAATCAAACCACCAATCCTGCCTATTGCTTCTCATCCTATTTCCCATGAAATTATCCACCGTAGCCTTCCTTTTCAGTTTTACCTTATTCTTGTCATATTTGGATTCTATGATACCTCGATTGTCATTATGCTTTCTATACCAATGTTTACATGAGGTTTATAGCAAGTTCATGCCAACTAATATGATTGTGGGGGTATGAATGGTACCGTACATAATATCACAAGTAAAAATTTTCACCACGCTAAGAAAATTGGTTTAACAATAAAAAAACATTCATGAAAGCCCCTGTTACACGAAATAAAGAACAAATGACAAAATATAAATCCCCAGATTGGGAGTGTCTTCATCTCTCTTCACAGAATGTTTGAATGTATGCGTAAACTTTATACAAACAGACAATAATAATTCAAACTAAACTGCAAAATTCTTTCCAAACACACTAGCTAAAAGAGAAAAAAAAGAATAAAGAAAGAATAACACAATCAAAACTCCTCAAAGCTCACTTGGACAGTGTGCAGCTCAACTGCCTTGTAACCTTGATTTGATCAACCTTAAAGGTGATTTTTCTAGCCCCTTTCCTTTATGCAATGCCTCACACACTACAGGCATTTAAAAAAGCTCCAAATGAAGTTTTGGGTAATGAAAAGAAGATTGGAATTGAAGTATCTGTTACGTTTGGGTCCCCTACCAAAACAGGTAGAAGTAATGGTGTCAAAGCGCAAGTGAAAATTGGTTGATTAATTTAGCCATTGGTAATAAGTGGCGTCCTATCTCAATGCCTACATTTTTTGGTAAGTAATGCCTACATTAATAGGGAGGTTATTGACCTATAAATCGTTAAGTTCCAGAGTACTTCATCTCAAGATGTACGTAGAACAACCATTACATGACAATGATACAAAATATTTCAAAAACCATCATATCCAATGTCAAAAAATAAACTTTAGGAGAATTACACCGAGACCCCCTATAGTTTGTCATTCAATCACTAGACCCTTTGACATTTAAAATATTACACACAGATCCCCTAAAATTTGTATGCGTGTATCCCTGTTGTCAATGTCCTTTAGTATATCTATTAGTAAATTATACTTAGACCCCCCTAAAATTTCTAAGTGTATAATATTTAGACTCCTCAAATTTAAAATGTTATATTTAGATAAAAAATACTCCAATTAAAGATAGAATATTAAATATTTTAAATTTTACAACCAAAATTCATATTCTATTATGACATTTATTAAAATAAAATTAAAAATAAAAATCTAATTTTTTTCTTAAAAAATTATAATTAGTAAACAATTATACTATCTATTGGAATTTAATTTTGTCGTTTAAACTATCATATTAAACTACCCAATTACCCTAATTAAAACTATAAGATATTGTGTCCATTATAGTTTGACCTCTTGTTTATTTTTTAGTTTTATTTCAATAGATAGTATAATTGCATACTAATTATGATTTTTAAATTTTTTTTATTTTTAATTTTATTTCAATAAATGACATAACAAAACATGAATTTTAATTGTAAAATTTATATTATATTATAAATGACTTAAACCCCTTGTTTAATTTTTTAGTTTTATTCCAATCGATAATATAATTATATACTAATTATAATTTTTTAATAAAAAATAAATTTTTATTTTTAATTTTATTTCAATAAATAATATAATAAAACATGAATTTTGATTGTAAAATTTATAATATTTGATATTCTATCTTTTGATTGAAATGTTTTTGGTCTATGTATAACATTTTAAACTTGAGTGATCTAAATATTATACGCTTACAAACTTTAGTGTCCAGGAGTCTAAATATTACGCTGGTACAAATGTTAGGGGTTTGTGTGTAATATTTTAAATATTAAAAGATCTAAGTGATTAAATAACAAATATTAAGGGTCTGATTATAAATCTCCCTAAACTTTATTCAAATACAATGCACAAATTGACAATAGCTACAAGGTTTATTATTCTTACCAACCCCAGAAAGACCAGTCAGGAAACGGGATATCAAAATGCTCCGGCGTGGTGCAATACCGAAACAGAGGCAAAGGCATCGCCGCATGCTCGGTCCGATTAATGCTTGGCTTGTCCATGCAATCAAACATCAAATCAACATCTGGAACCCTACCAGGGTACCTCCTAAGAAGCTGCAACAATCCCCAAATGGTAAACATAGCCCTACTCTGCACACAAGCATAGTAAAAATCCACATAGAGTCTTCCCCCAACAATCACAACCCGAAAAGCCGCGAATTCCTTGGCTTCCATTAAATGGGTCAACGATATCTTAGTCTTGGACCAAGGCTCCAGGTCATGATGTATAGATTTGAAGAATTCGGGACAATTCTCCGCTTGATTGGCCAATGCAGATTGGTTTTTGTAAGGTACATTGTCCCTAGCACTACGTCCGCAGCTGAGATATGAACATCGGATGATTTTGGAAGCTCTGGCGTACTTGGTCTCCTCGTTGAAGGTCTTGGTTGGGAATGGGTGCCATGGTGTGGCCTCTAAGTTGTGACCTGCGATGGTTTTCGTCTGATAAACGAAGTCGTCCACCTGTTCGATCAATTGTCACAATGAAATAAACTATCAGAGGCTTATCAACATCAACACACTTACACACACAAACATAAATCTATACACACACAACCATAGAGAGAGAGAGAGAGAGAGAGAGAGAGAGGGGTGCCTCGAAAAGGAGGAGGAAGGCGAGGGAGAAGAAGGCCAAGAGGAGGACCAAGCGAGGGACGACAAAGGGGGTTCCTGAAAGTACCCCCATACCCATTTTTGATAGAGTTTGATGAGGTTGATAGCAATGGTGGTGACGATGGGCTCCATTTTGTCGCCGATTAACACTTTCTACCTCACCCTTTTCGTCGTTTCTCTTTCAGGGAAGGAGTTATGGTTATGGATCACTGAACTCACCACGTGGAATACTACCACCTCCGTGTCCGTCTCCTACTATTCGTAACGTCTGCCCGAATGTGCAAAGGTACCGCACTCCTCTCTATACCGTGCGCTTCAATGGATCTAATTTTAATTTTGAAAAATTTTAGTCATACCCTTTATTATTTATTATTATTATATCATTAAGAATATATTTTTTATTATCAAAAATATCATTAACATTTTTTTTAGTTTATATTTAAATGTCACTGATACCTTTGTCATTAAACCACAATTTCTAACAAAAAAATATATATATGAAATACTAAAAATGTTTCAACATAAACTCTAAACAATTTTTCTATACAAAATTTGATTAAAATTTGAATTGATTAAAATTTATTTTTCTATTAAAAATTTATTTTTTTACATATTAAAATTTGAGTTAATTAAAATTCGATTCGAGCTGATTAAATTTTAATTTTTTTACATATTAAAATTTGAGCTGATTTAAGTTCTACTTTAGATGTTCGCGTCGATTAAAATTCGTTACGAGTCAATTAAAATTAAAATTTTTTTATTTATTAAAATTTGTGTCAATTAAAATTCGATTCAAGTTGATTAAAATTTATTTTTTACATATTAAAATATGGGTCGATTAAAATTTATATTTTTTATGTAACAAAATTTTAGCCGTTTAAAATTCAATGCGAGTTGATTGAAATTTGATTCAAACTGATTTTTAATCGCCTCGAAAATAATTTTAATCGACTCAAATTTTAATACGTAAAAAAATATGATTTTTAATTGACTTAAATTTTAATATATAAAAAATAAATTTTAATTAATTCGAATCAAATTTTAATTAGTCCGAATTTTAATACATAAAAAAATTTAGAAAATAGATGGGTTTCATTGAAGATATGTTTATCTAAAGGGGGGTGTGCATGAAGTTTTATTTCAAATATATGATGAACAATTTAGTAAAATTATATTTTAATTAATACATTTAATTTGACAGGAGTCAATGAAGATTAAAAAAATAGAGGGAATGTTCTTGAAATTATAGTAAACTAAAAGATGTGTGGCTGAAATTTTCTCTTTTAATTTCAATTCAATTCAAATATGAATTTAATTATATGAAATTTTTTATTAATAATTCAAATTTGAAACCAAATTTATTATATCACATGGAAGAGGAAAAATTCCCTCACTTTAAGTTTGAAGAATTTTGATTGGGGACAACGAACTTGAAGAGCAATCTTCTCCCACAAAATGAATAAATTGTTAGAGATTGGGATTAGACTGATCAAATGTATTTTGGATACTTAAATCAGTAGGGTTAGGGTTCCTATCAATAGGTAAAAATAACAGGGGAAAGTGTTTACCTTAAACTTAAGTTGTACCCACTATTTATTTCGATGGATTGTCCCCTTTCATTTTAGGGTTCCTACTTCTCCGCTAGGCTAGGTGGCACACTAATGTCCCTGTCGGATCCTTCTTCATTTGACTCATAGCTTGCCTATGAGTTAGCCTACGCGTTCTTATGATCTAGACGGCCCTGTAGCTTACTCATGATTTCCTGGAGATTTATTTGAAGATGGACTATAATTAGAATATTAATTGTCCTTGTACGCCTTTTGGCTGATTAGTTTGGGTCGGTGCGTGTCTTTTGCGTTCTGGGATTGGATGTCTAGTATATCTCATCAATCTTTTTGCTTGATTCGCTGTTTTTCCTGAGCTCTTGCCACGTGTATTTGCTACGTGACTTCACTATAACCATTATTTTGTATGTAGTCGTTTTACACCTCTTTATTTGCCCCTCAAAGAATGTTTGCCATGTGGCACGTAATGGCTAACGTACTCTAATATTTCATCGTACCTTATTAAATGCATGTGTTAGAGGAAAGGATGTCTTACATGTCCTTTTGCATCACATCATTAAATGTATGTGTCTTTTTGTCTGTAGCACAGTTTTCTTTGACACCTTTTTCCATCTCTTTTGAAAGTTTGTCTCTTTTTGTAAGAGAATAGGAAATTCAGAAGAAGCAGAGGCTACAGATGTAATTGTTGTGATTGTATATTTTGTTCAAATGTCATTCATACAAAATTATTCTTTTATAGTACAATAGAAATAACAATAGAAAATCTAATCAAAATCTATTTAAAATTTAAATGACAGTTGAAGATGGAGAACAAATCAGTAGAAAATCAAATTAATTGGACTTTATATTCTTCCTCCAGATTTTCCTTTTATTGACAGCTACCGTTGCTTGATTTGTTAGGCAGTTTCACATTTTCTTCTACACGCCCCCTTAATCTGAAGGGAAGTGCTCGAACGTTCAAATTGGCCAAGATGGTTTGGAACTTGCGTGGAGACACTGGTTTAGTTAGTGAATCAGCAAGTTGATCTCTAGTAGAAATAAATTGAACCGTAAATTGCTTTCTTCGAACTTGGTCACGCACATAATGAAAATCAATCTCGATGTGTTTAGTACAGGCATGAAACAAAGAATTAGCAGTCAAGTATGTGGCTTCAATATTGTCACACCATAACACTGACTGAGTTGGAATCTTAAGTCAATTTCAGATAAAATTGATTGCAACCATTGTAGTTCTGAAACAGTATTTGCAAGGGATTTATATTTAGCTTCGGTACTACTATGAGCAACTGTAAATTGTTGCTTACAGCGCCAGGAAATAAGGTTGGTGCCCATGTAAACACAATAAGCACCGATTGATCGACGATCATCGCGATCAGTTGTCTAAGCGGAATCTGAAAAAGCTTGAATTGCAAAATTAGACAATCTGCCAAGAAACAAACCCGTTGATATGGTATATTTAAGATAACATTGAATCCTTTTTAATGTCTGCCAATGTGGATCCAACGGGTTATGCATGAATTTGCTTACTTTGTGAATTGAGAAAGCAAGATCAGGTCTAGTAAAAGTTAAATATTGCAGGTTCCCAACAACTTGTCTATAAAGAGAAGGATCCGAAAACTTAGCTCCGTTAGTTGCAGATAGGTGACAAGTAGTTGACATAGGACTCTTGCATGGCTTGGCTTCTGCCATGTGAGTGCGGTTTAGGAGATCAGCCACATACTTACGTTGAGTTAAATACATACCGTCGTTTAAGCGTAATACTTCTACACCCAAAAAATAACTAAGGTCACCAAGTTCTTTAACTGCAAAATTCGAATACAAGGCCTGAAGTACATGTCGTATGACAGTACCAGAATTGCCCGTAATTATAATATCATCAACATAAATGAGAATCACAACCAGAACACCATTCTCGCGCCAAATAAAAAGAGAAGTGTCAGCCTTACTATTATGAAATCCAATCGCCCGCAATTTATCAGTTAGACAAGAGAACCAAACTCTCAGAGCTTGTTTCAAGCCATATAATGACTTATGTAACTTGCAAAGATGATGTGGATATTGTGAATGAACGTAGACCTGAGGTTGGGTCATATAAACTTCCTCCTCCAATTCGTCATGTAGAAAAGCATTTTGAATATCAATATGCTTAATCTGCCAGTTATAAGAAATAGTCAGGGACAAGACTATTCGAATTGTAGCATGCTTGACAACAGGGCTAAATGTCTCATTATAACATGATGGTTCTACATCAGTAGAATTAAGAGAGCTAAGTAATGCTTTCGGTAAAGGATACCGTACAAAATCATCTGAGCTAGCTTTTGGTTAAAAAATATTGTTCCGCATTCTGGTAACCATGGCATGGGTGCTGGTATTTCCTTGCATTACTGGAGGATCCGAGGTGGACTAAGGTGGTTCCGATGGTATGTTGAAGGATAGATAATTTTTAGTAGCTACTAGGACCGGCGAGGAGACAAAATTTGCATGCCTAGCAGGTGTTCCTTCGTCTGTTCCTGTAGAGTGTGACACTAGAGGTACATTATGACCAGTTGCAGATGGTAAAATTTGGGATTGCATATCATCCGTTCTGGCAGTCGGTGGTAATTTAAGATGTAAAGGTAAGGTGACATGTGTGGATGAATGGGACTTTGAGGACGATGTAGAAAAGATATTTTTCTGGTAAAGAAACAAATTTTCATCAAAGATTACGTGATGCGACACATAAACACGACTAGTTGATAATTAAAGGCACTTGTACCCACGATGATTAACACTATAGCCAATGAAAACACATGATTTGCTTCCAAAATTCAATTTATGTTTATTATATGGTCTAAGATTAGGCCAACATGCACATCCAAAGACACGTAAGAAAGAAAAATCGGGGATTTGGTTATAGAGCATTTCATAAGGTGACAAATTGTTGAGAATGGGTGTTGGAAGACGATTGATAAAAAAGTTGCAGTGTAAAAGGCATCTTCCCAGGAAAGTAGAGGTAAATTCGAATATGCTAATAGACTAAGTCCAATTTCAACAATTTGTCTATGTCTTCGTTCAATTGAACTGATTTGTTGGTGAGTATGAGGGCATGCTATTTTCTTGAAAATAATTATGAAGTCTACGGTATTCACCACCCCAATCTGATTGTATGTCCTTTATTTTACATTCAAAATGTTTTTCCACATAACATTGAAATTGAAGAAAAACACTCTCAACATTAAATTTTAATTTAATTGGAAATAACCATAATAATTTTGAATAATTATCTAGAAAACTAACATAGTATCGAGCACCTATAATTGAGGCTACAGATGTCGAATCCCATACATCTGTAAAAATTAAGTCTAATGGAGAAGTAGAAACATAAGTAGAATTATTAAAAGACAAAACATGACTCTTGGCTAATTGGCAATCAGAGCACATAGATTGCCTCTTTATTTTATCAACTGGAAGCTTATTGAAGGACAAAACACATTGAACAACTTGAGAAGAAGCATGACCAAGGCAACAATGCCATTGATCAAACGAAATGTGAACACTCGAAAGGGCTTGAGGAGAAACATTTTTGTTGGAGAAATGGTATAACCCATTATTGACTTGGCCTCGATGAAGGACGGCCCCCGAGTAATCCTTCACAAGAAAATATTTGTCATGAAACTTGAAATAAATATTATTGTCAATACAAAATATCTGAATAGAAAGTAATTTTTCTGAATTTGAGGTACTAAGAGAAGTTGATTTAATACAAAAGAATGAGATGATGTATGAAGAGAAAAATTGCCAGTTTTAGAGATACGCAAACCTTGACCATTGCCAACTTGAAGTTAATCTATATCATTATAGTCATCACTCTTTAGATTCAGATTGGTGATATCATGTGTGATATGGTGAGTAGCACCTGTGTCCACATGCTAGTCATTCTCCCAGCTACCCTTGTTGGCTGCAACGAAGGCTTGTTTATTTTGAGAAGGAGGAGGATCTTGATAGGTGAGATCGAAACGGTGGTAGCATTTGCAAATGGAATGACTAGGTTTCCCGTAGACTTGACACATAACTGTAGAAGAATTAAATGTGTCACTATGATTATAGGAAGAAACACCCCCTTCCTGAGAGTTGTTATGTCGGCCTCTACCACGAGAACCACCTCAGCCCCTATTGTTGGATTGTTGTGGTTGTCTTTAAACGACGTTTGTCTCACCAAGTGGTGCCGGAGTAGAAATATGATGACGGTTTAGACGAGATTCAATCACAATTAACAGAGAGTATATTTCCTCAAGTGTGACGTGATCAGTGCGAGCATAGATAGAGGATACGAAGCTGTCGTATTCATGTCCTAATCCAGCAAGAACATAAGAAATGATGTCGTCACATTTGAGAGGTTGGCTGGCCATGGCAAGTTCATCAACTATTTTTTTGATTGACAAAAAAAATCATTGGTAGATTGTCTGGCTTTCTTCGCATTGGTAAGTTGAGTTCGAACCTGGATGATGCAAGCTCGAGATTGTGAAGAAAATTTTGTTTCAAGTCCGCGCCAAATCTCATGAGAGATGGCATGAGAGACTATTTGAGCTAAGACACCCTCAGTCATGGAAGACATGAGAGTGCTCAGGATAAGACTGTCCTGTCGCAACCATTGAGAATACGTAGGATTTGAAATTTGATTGATTGCATCTGTATCAGGATGTAGAGCATCAATAGTTTGGGGAAGGAGACTGAGAGTACCATCAAGGTAGCCATATAGGTCTTGGCCACGTAAATAATGCAGTAATTGTGCCTTCCAAAGAGGATAATTATCCAGAGTCAACTTGATTGAAACAATATTAGAGATTGGAGTGATTATAGGGATAGAAGAGGAAGGATTGTTGATGCTAGTGAGCGAAGAAGGAGAGGAGGACATGATTAGACACTAGTCTTTTGGTAGCTTTGATACCATGTAAGAGATAAGAAATTCAGAAGCAGAGGCTACAAATGCAATTGTTTTGACTGTATGTTTTTGTTCAAATGTCTTTGATACAAAGTTACTCTTTTATAGAGTTTGAGTACAACAGAAATAGCAATAGAAAATCTATTTAAAATTTAAATGACAGTTGAAGATGGAGAGCAAATCAGTAGAGAATCAGATCAGTTGGACTTCCTATTCTTCCTCCAAATTTTCCTCTTGTTGACAGCTACCGTTGCTTGATTTGTTAGGCAGTTCCACATTTTCTTCTACACCTTTAACCTCTAATTTTCGCAAGTTTTGTCTGTGCTTAGTTTCTCTGCAAAACTATTGTAAGTAACTTTTCTAATCTTTTTCTTACTATGGCTCCTTTGAAGAACGAACAAATCCCTGAGTTTTGGTCTAAGTATGGTATCCCTAGTGATGTGTCCATTAGAGTTACTGGTGAAGATAAACCTCTACTTGGTTTTAGAGAGTCTATCCCCGTAGCTACTAGGGCCATTACAGATGGTGTAGTTAGGTTTCCCCTCCACCCTTTACTCCTTTAGCTCTTTCATGCGCTGAAGCTTTGGCCCATTCAGTGTTGTTTGAACATTTTTAGGATTGTTATGGGGTAGTTGCTTTGAACAATTTTTTGAATACGAATTGGGGCTTTGGGAGATTCTCTATTGTTATATGATTGCTTCCACCTCTGAGAAAAAAATATTATTTTTGAGTTAAGAAAATTGATCATTACCTGGTTACCCATCTTCCTGATTCAGACAAATGTCATGGAAATTATACCTTGTTTGTCTTTGGCAATTGGGAACATCGAGAGGACGAAGAGCTTCGCTATAACTGTCCATGCAAAGAAGGTGCATCCGGTAACTTTCATCCGTACCATTTTTTTTTTTTTTTTGGACTTGTTCATTCTCTTTTCTCTTTTCCCTTTATTTTTTTTTTTTTTTAAATCTTGGTTCTTTGTAGGTTGCAGGTGAGTCTGTGAAGGGCAAAGTACTAGATTCGAGGGTTAATTTATCTAATCTGCAGAGGGTTTGGGAGTTTGGTGCGACAGATCACTGGTGTAGAGCCACACATGTACTCCTAGGATACGAACCTACTTATAAGTCTTTCATATTAGTTCCTTTATCGACGTCCCAACAACTATCGGTCTTAAGAGCTGCTCGGTCAATGCAAACGTCTTTTTTTACGCAGTCGAGGGATACCAGAAAAAGAGGAATGAGCGGATGAAGGAGTGTGACGAATTTCATTGACTTAATTCTTGTCCTTCGTCTAGGACGGTGTAATATCCGGCCCGAAAATAAATTTATTATTTATTTAATTTAATGAATGATGTAGAAAAGTTTAGTGAATTAATTTGGCCATAATAAAGTTATGAGTCAAATGTAAGACCAAAGGTATATTGAAAACCTAAATTAAACCAAAGTGAAAAAAAAAAAAAAGAGAAGGAATGAAGTGTATTTATATATAAAAATATCTAAAGACAAAAAATGAGGAGAATTCTTTCATTCTTTCATCATACCCATCGGAAGCATTTTAGAAAGAGAGAGAGCTTGAAAGAGTGAGAGAGAAGAGTTGAAGTTGATTTCCAAGCTTAGGAAAACATTATTCTACCTCATCGAAGTCATAAACAAGGTATATATATGCATATTTTTGGATTTTGAAGCATTGAGTAGAAATCTTAGTTTTGGGTTTGTGTAGAAATCATGTTTACACTTGATGAAATGAGTTCTAAATGATATATATGTGTGTGTGTGTGTGTGTTTATTATGCGTATTAGATTGATATACTAGCATTTGAAGCCTTTGATTTGGAAAAATCTCTTAAATATCTAACTTTTGATGAGGTTTGAGAGATTTGGTCAAAGGGTGGTGCTAGAGTGATTGTTGAGTATAATGACTTTATACATAATTTATTAGTAGCATGATGGTCAGTAACATACTAAAAATTTAGATGAATTGTTATTGAATTGAGAATACCCACTTGTTGGAACATGAGTATACTTTTGGGTCGAGTCTACTTGACACAGTTTAGGGTAGTTAGTAGGGGTTGGGCCACTAATAGTATTTTGTCTTCCGTTGTGTGTCTGAGACTTTTGACATAAGAATATCTAGTTTTCTTTTGGGGCCTCCATGCCTGTCATTTAGGCCTGCGTGCCATGGTTATACATTTCGCCATGATGTCTAGGAGTGGTATATTGATTTTGATCAAAAAATGATATTTCTCTTATATATTTCTTTTATTATTGATTTTTTTTTATATTATTATGATGAGGATTGATGTTAGAGTACGATAACCTTTAGTCAGTCTGCCCGAGTCAGACAGCACTTGCATTAGTCCTCGGGTTAGCGGGTCGGGGCGTGACAGACAGCATCCGAGCCAAGAGCCGTAGTTGTGACGCAAGCCGATCCCATTCCTTTGGTTCCACAAGCTTTCCTTTCCTCACTGAGAGATGATCCAGTCCCCCATATGACTGATCACCAACCTTCGCAAACCGAGGAGGGGGTGATACCGATCATGCGAAGGATTCCGCTTCCATCACAGAGTCGGTTCGGAGGGAGAGCGCTACGAGGAAGTGGAAGGCCTTTACTAATCCTTCTGTTGACGAGGCCTAGGGGGCTTTGGTTCGGACCCTTATTGTTTGAACTAAGAACCAATGCAGTTAAGTCGGATGAGAAACGTAACAATTAATGTATTTTAAAGTTACAAATCTCATGGTTATTACGTAATTATTTTTATAATTTTATTTTTTAGATTTAATTTATTGACATAATTTGCTAAAATTATCTATCACAACCATTAGATTAGTTATAGATCCTAATGAAGATCATCGTTAATCTAATGATTATAATTGATTAAGTCAATAAATTAATAGTTCGTTTGATAGGTATGGAAGGATAAAAAGAAGGAGTGATACACTTTCTACTCTTCAATGGAGAGATCATTTTTTTCCTCCTTTGTATTTGGTAATAGGGATAAAAATCAAGAATGATTGATTTTTTTTACTTGGTAGGATAGAAAAGGTATTATTTTTACTTTTTTAATTTTTTTTTGAAAAAAATATAGATATATATTTTATCATTATATATAATATGAAATTAAAATATACATAATATGTAATTGATAAATATTATATATTTATATATTAAAGAATGTATAGACAAATAACATAAATTTCAACATATATAATTAATTTTTTATCAACTTTTACTCCAAATTTTAGAAGAATTGATTTTGGTGGATTGGAAGAGAAACTTATCCATCAACTTTTTTATCTTTTCTATTTTCTTTTCTTATCAAACATAATATTTTATTTTTCTCTTCAATTTTTAATCTCTTCAACTTTTCATTTTTGTCTATTGTACCAAACGAAACATAAATCTAAATAATATTAATCTTATTTTTAAATGCGAGGAAAATGATAGAAAAAGAAATTTAACCACCAGACCATACACTTTGCCATCACAAGAATAGAGTGTACATGCGTTAAATTAACCGCTGCAGCAGCAGCCACCGCCACCTTCACCAAATCCAAACAATCCCCATGGCAATTCCGAAAAAGATCAAATGGCAAATCCTTAAATTATGCCGGAGTTAAGGTAATTGGCAATCTTAACCACAAGATTTAACATTTTGACTGAATTAGCTTATTAAAAGTCTTCTACTAATATGAATAGAAATATCATCATGCTACCATGATTTTTAATTGTACACAAGCCATATCCTCCATAAAATAAGTACGTACAAGTTAAAAAAAAGAGAGACTTCATGACATGAGTCATTGAAGTCAAGGTCAACAACTTAAATTAAAGTGAGATTGAGATCATCCTCCTGTTACATTTTCATATCATTTTAGTCGGTTGTAAGGGGGTGTTAATCTAGACTAGCTAAATCTCATTAGCTTATTTTAATAAGAGTCTTAAAGAAGGCCCGAATTTCAAAAGGTGGGTATTTGTAAAGGGGTGTTAATCTAAACTAGTTTAAGTGCACTTAAGTTTGACTTGGTTGTAATTGATCAAGCATGTTAGGCTTAAATTTTGCTCAAGTTCAACTCGGTAGAATTTATAAAGTATTTGAGCCAAAATCGAGCTTAGTTTTTGAAAAAATAAAATAAATTCATATCTTTGAACTTAATAATTAATCTTAAAATAATTAGATTGTCAACTAGAATCCCTTAATAATCAAATTCTCAGAACTCTGAATTTCCTTAAAAAGCTATTAGAGAAGCGAGGGAAATGGAGAAGCACATATGATTCAAAATTACTTCGATCAGTCGGGGTGAGACAACTTGGGCAAAGTTACACATTACTCGAATTAAGTGGGTTTATAAAACAAATTTCAAAATTTAATTTGATAAATATGAATTAGTCACAAGGCGGGCACGTAAAAGTGAGCTTGGCACGTGAGCGTTTGACACATGACGCTCTTCTTCATAAGAGGGCTCCACTAACCACCTAGGAGCTTGCTCGCCCATATCTCACGAAAGGAGCTCACTCAAATTGTAATACTTTTGGGGAGAGTTTCATTTCTCTTGTCTCCTCATTTAAAAAACAGTTATGGGATTCTAACGGTAAAATTGGCCTAGCCTATAAAAGAATCGTGCATGCCATAAATCGGGTAAGTAATCTTCTCCAAGCTAAATATAATTTAGCCTGTTACTCTCTTTCTGATTTTATCATCGGAGGGTTGATCACCAGAGTTTCTCCGGTCTTTGATTGTCTTTGCAGGAATCCTCTGGCGATTCCCAGATCATCACACATTCCGATGGTGCAATTTTTGGGATCAATATTGTGCACGGTGATTTTCGCACAATAAACAAAAAGACAGCTCTTTCCTTTGTGAACTCAAGATTACCTGGAAAGTCAAATATCCCGTAACAAAGGAGTGCTAAAAGTGGCCCAGGGAGTAATGATGAATGACTTTTCAGCTGTCTGATCGATTTCGGCGAGTCGAAGGCATCTCCTGGCACTCAAAAGAAGGGTTAGAAGGGTGCTTGAGTGTTTTCTGACATGTCCCCTCTAATGATCAAGTCATTTTGTGAGAGAGGAGAAGCAAAAATCACTATTTTTTTTTTCTGAGGTCAGATTGCATATCTTTGCTTCGCATTTGTGAGTGCTATTTATATCTTCCATGAAGATCATCATTGCTAACAAGTGGATCCCTCTAGGGTGAGATCCCCATTGACCCATTTGGGAGGTAGGGGGCGGTGGTGCTCAGTCTTTGGGTGGAGCGCCTCCTGTCTTGCTTGGGAGACCAATAAGAGTTATATGTTCGAGCCCCCAAGCATTCAATGCCCTTTATCTGCGGTTCTCTGGACGACAAAAACGTCTCATCCTCTTAAGGGATCATTAAATGTTCTTTTGAGATGACTGTGTGCCAAAAGGAGTATTCTTGTCAATTTGCCTCCAATACTGTATATCGTGTTACGTGTCTAACTCTTTTTGGTTGCTGATGTTATCTCGTTTACCATTCTGACTTCATTGGAAATACAAGTCAATGATTCATTGTCTAATTCTGACTTTAACAAGCTGCAATCGTCAATAATCCGCCTTGGAGCTGAGGTGACGTGTCCAAAAAATTCCTCGAGGTTTAATCACGCAAGGGACACGTGTCAGAATCCTAGGGCTCCAAGAACTTGGAAGTGTCATCGGTGCCGAGGACACGTGGCTCATTAGAGTGTTAGATGTGTCCCCGGTGCCGAGGACACGTGTCTTCACTAGAGTATTGGAGGTGTCTTCGGTGTCGAGGACATGTGTCTTCACCAGAATATAGAGGTGTTTTTGGTACTGAAGACACGTGTCAGATCCCTATTCTTTCTTTAAAATGTCCCATCAAATACAATTAATTCCGGTATGTTTTATAATTCGAATGGAACTTGGTGTAACAAGGTTAGGTGGTGGTTAGGAGTTAAGAATATTGTACATGGTACGGAAGAGCAATACAAAAATGACTGCATAATCAGAAGAGTTAAATGGAAATAATGAAATATGGAAGTCACATGGGGAGACAAATTAAAAATGAAGTCAAGTCGCTCGCCAGTGTGAAACAATAAAATAAAAAAAAATAAAAGGGGGAATTCGAAAGTCAACGTTTGGCATATCCTCCCTCCATAAATGGAGCTCCAACTTCCGTATCCAATCTGTCCTATTCTTCTTCACCTCCCAATACTCTCACATTGCTAAAAGCCATTATGGTTAAACACTTCCATTATTGTTTGTTGTTACTAGTTTTACCTCTCTCTGCTTTATCCGAGGGTAATTAAGCTTATGAAACCTACCCAGTATTTTTTTTCCTCAGTTTATTTTTTGTATGTAATTGATTGCTATTCACTCACACTGATCATTTTCACATTTTTTTCCATGAAACATGGATTTTGCAGTTTTTGTGAGCATTGATTGCGGGGCGTCCGATGTTTACACCGACGAAAATTCTATAGGGTGGAGGGGAGACAATGACATTATCCAGAATGGAGTGTCCCGTGTGGTACTGCAAAATAACTCAATATCTCATGTAATGGACACTCTGAGAGTGTTCACAACTCGGAAAAAGAACTGTTACTCTATAAACGTCAATAACAGTAGCCGAGTTCTCGTCCGCACTAGCTTTTTCTATGGAAACTACGACAACAAATCTACTCCTCCTACCTTTGATCTTCTATTTGATGGGAATTATTGGGATACTGTCGAGACTTTGATAGATGATTATTATTACTACGAAATAATATATGTTGTCAAAGGTAAGACAATTAACGTTTGTGTTGCTCAAACAAAACCCGATCAGTTTCCCTTTATATCAGCACTTGAAGTACGGAGCTTGGACTGGTCCATGTACCCTTATGTCGATTCCAGTTACGCCTTGAATTTGAATACTAGGAATGCTTACGGCTCAATTGCAAATGTCAGGTATGTCACCTATATGTCACTTTTTTTTTTCTTCCAGGAAGCGAATCAGCTTATCATTGCCCAACCAAACCCACAATTGCTCGCTCAAATAATTCTATGAATTATATTCAGGTATAGGGATGATCTTTACGATCGAATTTGGGAATCGGATATGGCTGGAGAAGGATTAATTAATGTGTCAAGCAATGTATCGTCCGTTAATGTCGATCCATATGGTACTGATAGGCCCCCACAAAAAGTGCTACAAAATGCAATTGCCTGCCCAAACACATCTGTCTCTCTTGTCTTGGACACAAGTTTTCCACCTCATGAAGTTTCCATCCACATAAATTGGCATTTCTCCGAAGTGACTCGGCTCAATTCAACCCAAAAAAGATCCTTCATGATTTTCATAGACGACCAACCTTTCTCTGACGTTATAATACCAACTTATGCAAATGTAACCGAAATGGTTGCTAGTAACGTCACTGTCTCGGCAAACACTACCTTTTCTTTGGTGCCTACCAACGATTCGACGCTTCCCCCTCTTATCCATGCCATGGAAGTATTTTACATTAGCGATCCGATATCGGACGGAACCAACAGCAAGGATGGTTGGTATCAACTTGTTTATTTATTTGTCTGATTTGTTTTCCCTTCCCTTTCTGCACATTATATAAGTAGATGCTTTTAACTTACATGAACTTTCATGGTTGTAATCAACTTTTTTGTTTTAGTGGAAGGGTTAAATTCACTGCAGTCCAAGTTTCATGTATTGCAAGGATGGGGCGGCGATCCGTGCCTTCCAGCACCATATAACTGGGACTGGATCAATTGTAGCTCCGATGCCACGCCTCGTGTGACGGCACTGTAAGGGCGTCTTTTTATCTACTGAGAAACATTTACAATTTCTTTCCATAAATTCACTTATATTCTTGTGCAAATTAATTTAGGTATCTAAGTAGCTTCGGCCTGTCAGGGCCACTTCCAGATATCAGTTCCATGGATGCTCTTGAGGCAATGTGAGTTTCTTTTATTCTCAACTTTGAGCCAGTGTGAGTTCAAAGCAAAGAGAACAATTGCAGTTTTCATACACACACACACACACACGTGTGTGTATATTCACACGAGCACCTCCCCCCCCCCCCTCCACACACACACACACTCACACTCTTACATGCATATTTTAACCCCTTTTTTGTGTTGGTTTTGAATTGCAGAGATTTGCATAATAACAGCTTAAATGGACATATTCCCATATTTCTGGGCCAGTTACCTAAGCTGAAACAACTGTGAGTACATACTATAATGCTCTCTGACCTTCACTAGAAGACCCCATGGTTGTGGGAATCATGTGCATTGACATTTCTTTCTTTCTTTCTTTCTTTTTTTTTCCTTTTTACAGGAATTTAGCGGATAACCAGTTCAGTGGATCAATACCCTCTTCACTAACAAAGGAAACAAATCTAAAACTAATGTAAGTTGAATTATATCTGACTTTTATTAATCTATGATACGAGTAAACCTTACACCTACACCTATAAAAAATTAAAAACCTGTTGCTTGTTGATATTTGAGAAATAACTTGTATCTTCAATGTTCAAAAAAATTATAATATATGGCAATTCCGATGTACAGTTTCACATATATATTTGTTTCTTATTTTGAATCACAGAGTGACGGGCAATCCTGAATTGTGCACATCAGGCAAATCGTGCGAGAAGAGGAGCAAAAAGCTAGCAGTAATACTTGGCACCTCAATTCCAGCCTTGGTCTTGGTGATCGTGGGTGTAAGGTTAGCAAACTTTCTTCTTTTTTGATATCATTGAGACATAATTGAGGGGCATAATGAATTGTGACCCATAGTTCCGAAAATCGTCTTTTGATTTTTTGTACAATGTCGGTTAGCTTCAGTTCTGAAAATTTAAACTGCTAAAATCATTCAGCTTTATCACAAGATGGTGGAGCCGAAGTGCCAAATGACAAGCCGCATGGAGCTGTTGTTACCATGGAGGAGAAGATACGAGGAAGATTAGAAGAGTATGAAGTTATAAAGGAAAGGCCGGTAGAAGGTCGAGTAGTGATTATGTGTACGATGTTGCGGAAAACTTTGTTTTCTTATTTACTAAACCAAAATTCTGAAATTGTGTTTGACATGTTAATGAAATTAAAGTGAAGGTGAGAATAGAATGAATATAGGAAAGGAACGGAATGTACATTATTATTCCAATATTTAATAACAATTATGATTTATTTGGTAAGATGAAAAAATGGGAGGATACAAAGTTGGAGGGATAAATCAAATATGAAAATAAAAATAATGAATGAACTTTCTTTCTAACTCACCAAAATTAATCTTTCTAAAATTGAGAGAAAAAATGGATGAAAAGTTAATTATGTGTGTTAAAATTATATTATTTGTCTATATATTATATTTATTGATTACATATTATGTATATATTAAATTCATATATAGATATAATGGTAAAATATGTATTTATATTTTTTTCAAAAAAAAATAAAAAATAAAAAATAAAAAATAAAAAAATAAAAAATAAATTTTTTTTTTCATTTTACCAAACACAAAGGAGTAGAAGAAGAATAGAAAGTATATCACTCTCACTTTCTATCATTCTATTTTTCATCTGCCTTATCAAACAGACCATTAGGATTAAGTGTTGAAATAAAATTGAAAATCAACTCAAATATTTGAATAATCTCTAGACTTGGACCTAAATCCAACTTTGGACTCAAACATGATATTGAACCCATGATCCAAACCTAGACTGAGATTCTATCCCAAACCCAACTTTAGACCTCAAACTTGGATCCAACCCCAGACTCGGACTAAACTTGACACCGACCCCAGAATTGGACCCAAACCAAACCCTAGGTCCAGAATCAACCCGTCGTCGGATCCCAGATCCTAGACCCGACCTCCAACCCTAGATTCAACCTTCCATGGAAGTGGGATAATGGTTGTGGTTATGGAGGGATAGTAATTGAAAATGAGAAATACCACCAAATAAGTATATTTATACATTATATCCATGTTAGATCATCTCCACCAAATAAGTATATTTATACATTATATCCATGTTAGATCATCTTCAACCTTTACTTAAATTTAAATTTTAGAAAAAAAGCTCAAAAAACTTCTTTCAACATTTGACTCAAACTTATACCAAATCAAAAGAGACTCGTTTTTTAACTCAAATCAAGGGAGACTCAAATTTTTACCCAAATCTTTAATGATAAGATTTCACCATCTTTTAAAGATCTAATATTCATCTTTACTCTCTTTTAAATTTGAGTTTATTCACATTTAAATTTGAATTTTTTTTTATTTAAATTTGAGTTTGTTCATTTGAATCTTTTATATCAAATCAAATTTTTTACTCAAATTTTAATTTAAATTTGAGTAAAATTTTGAGTGATAGTAAGCACAAACACACTCAGATAAACAAAAAGTGAGGGATCGAAACTTACTGAATATTGATGGTGAGATGAATCAATTCGCTGATCAACTCCAGAGTCGGAGAATGTTCCATACTCTCCACCTTATTGCTGCTGTCACAGCAGCGATTGATCTTCGAACCGATGATTGCACATCGTTAATGAACTGTGTCAGTGAAATTCTCCGAGTAGAGAGACCCATGACCTTTCAAAATATATTACCTTTAATTCTTGAATTAGGAAAACCATTTTCACAAGATTATCTACAATGTTGGACTGGTGATTTTCATTAACCTCTTGAATCAAAGCTCAATTCTGATCCAAAAACGATTGAATCTCCAGGAAGCTCTTGCCCAGCGTCTCCCAAACCCCAACATCACATTCTCCGACTCTATTTTCTTCAGGCCGCTAGAATGGTTGTTTTTCGTTTTTGCTTTGGTGGAGTTGAGTTTGTGTGCTTTTGTCAGGTGTGCTACAGGCTCTAGACCACCACTGCCGATGACTCATTGTTTTTTCATGCATATACATTTGTTTAATGGCTTTATCGGTGTCTCTAACTCTTATTCAGGCATGTATTCTAACTTCCAATTAAATGATCGTGGACATTGGACCATATGATTAACACAGAATTTCAAACTCATACATCTCTTCATTCAACATAAAATTTATGAAGGAAAAACAGAACAGGGAGGGGGGAAGGAATGGAGGGGTTCCAAATATGTCAGGGTTAGCTTTCAGCTGTATTAATTGGATCTTCATACACAGTGTCTGGTAATAATTTTGGCTGACGACTGTATTGTGAGTGGACAACTGGCTCTACCGGTATACTTGATCGTGGTAAATTCCATGGACATTCCTGGAGTATTGATTTGGCTGCATTAAGTAAAGCGCGGAACTGTTCGTGGCCTAATGACTTTACGAACTTCTTCCATTCATCGTCCGGTCTCTCATGGCAGCTAATGCATTCCATCTTCTGAACCTCATCCTTAATTCTCTGAAATGATAAAAGGCCACATTAGCAGAATAACATGTATCTGCGAAATGAACTCCTGGACTACATGAAGAATCAAATAAGATATGGGCATGAAATATATTCACTACCAGTACTGAGTTTCAATAAACAAGATGAGCATAGAAGAGAGATTAAATCATCCCAAATTGTTATTGCAAAACATGTTTCAATGCAAGTATACAAGTACCATCGATACCACTCCCATGTAGAATACCAAATATGACGAGTGTTTCCATATTCCACTGACAAAAGAAGAGGAGAAAATCTTCAAAAACTATACCATAAAAGGAGGGAATTAATGCATTAAGAACCAGCTGCCAAGTTTTATTGCCTAGAAAATTCTTTCTAAAAAGTTGGTCCTGGAAAAATAGCTGGTCTGTAATTATAAAGTTTATGATCTGGCTCATAGAGTATTTAGCCTATGAAGGAAAGTGAAAATGCAGAAACCAGAAAATTTAAGTGAATCTTCCCAGCATCCCATCATAATAGTACCAGTAGTTCTATGGCCTTACATATTATTCCTGCCCTATTGTCAACTCTTTAAAGCAAACAAAAAGATCGACAAACATCACAAGAATACAAGGGTCAACTTTGGAGCATCCTGCTTCCATTCCTCTTATCCATTACAAAACTTATGTTAAATTCTTATCAAAATTACATAATAGAAATCTTAAACATTGAACAACCAATAGCAAATACAACAATGATGAGCTGGACATTCAATGCAAGTCATAAATTGATAGCATTGGCAAATATTTACACTCATGGGTAGGGGAGTGTTACGGTACCAAATTGCACTTTGGTACATTAACTCTACTTTTTGGTGCCTTTTTTTCATGCTTTATTATTTTTTAACAATAATTGTAGATCATCCAATTCAAAATCACAGGTCCCGATCGTTTTCGGGCACGTTACCGTAGGCTTACCCCTCATGGGTACATCAAAGAATCAAGTTAATGCTTTCTGTAAAATAGAAACCCAATTCTGTTGGTACATGATAGTCAAGGCAGAGGCTATGGAATAATTTTGCCCTTTAATATGTCAACAATGGCCAGCTTTTGAAAACTTAAAACGAAAATTTCTTAAACCAGTTGTTTATTTTTTTCCTGTTTGGAAAACCATCAAAATACATTAAAAAAAAAATAGCAGAAACAAAATCATTCAACAACAGTATGTATGGCTCTTATTAAAATAATTATACAAAAAGAAAAACAGTATGGCGACACAAACCTGCAATAACCTCAAGTCGAACTTGGGAAGCCCAATTTGCCCAACAGTCAGCGACCCGAAATAGTTCCCCAGCAATGCAGCATCCGGCACCGCCAACCCTTGCACAAACCCCGCCACAAAGCCACCGAGAAAACTATCCCCAGCGCCGGTGGGATCAACCTGTACTGCCGGAAATGGGTCAATCTGAACTTCACCGTCCTTCCAATACACCTTACACCCATCCTTCCCATTGGTCACCACCACAGAACACCACTTCCTCGCCGCCTCCACATCCACATACGGCGCTTCCTCCGCCGACGCTTTCAGAAACCCAATTCTCGGTAGCAAATGAAAAAATCCACTTTCCTCCAATCTAACAAGCCTCACTGTTCCATCAACACAGTCAAATTCACGAATTAGGGCTTGAATGTCAACAAACACAAATTTACATATATCTAGCAATTTCTCTAGGGTTTCGGGCAAAATTTCTCCCGCAACCCCAATGGCCATGCCGAAATCGAAGTCTGATTCTGGGAGATCCGAGGGGAAAATCGGTTCGCAACAGCGGACCCGTTTGAGGATCCGATCTTGGCGTCTGATTTCGGAGGGTTCAGATGAAAAATAGGCGTGGAAGAGAGTGGTGTTTGAGGTAGATGAAATGATTGGAGGGTGATTGACGGTGTAAGCAAAGTCAGTTCCGACTTTAGCAATGTAATCGGAGGAGATTGAGAGGCCGTCGAGCACGGCGGAGATAAACGACGCCGCACCCCCGAGAGACTCGGTCATTACGACGTCGTCTTTGATCAACACATCATGGCAATAATTCCCGACGATCAGACCTCTGCGAGTTGGGACGGAAGGGTCTTGATTTCCGATCACCATAGGTGGTTTTCTCTTGGTAAATACGTCGCTCGGGCCTTGATGTTGTTGGCGGTGCAATTTGTCCCTCGCGATCAAGAGTGCAACGCTCTCAAGAGGTAGGGCCTGTAAGAAGCCATGAAAGCAGAGGGTTTTGCGATGAGGACAAAAGGGTTGGTCGTCGGTATATGAAGAGGTGTCAAGAAGAGGCGATTCGAGACGACATTGCAAGTATGAATGCTGCTTTTGCTTTTTGTATAAACGATCGGTGTGGAGTTTTTGAAAATGGCGGTGGGGGAAGGGGAATGAAAGGATGGCCGTTCATGCGTTGAAGTGCGAACCTTTTAGAAAGCGATTGATTCTTGGCATTAATGGAACTCTTCACGGAACCAGAGACTGACTCATGAAACATTAATGGAAAATTACACTTTGACCCTAAATTTTTGAATTTTTTATATTATTTCCTTAATTATTTTAATTATTTCAAATTATACCAATCACAATTGTATACTACCATTTTGGACAAAATTGCTAATGGGTTAAGGAAAAGTAAAAAACATTACATAGTTCAAGGATAAAATGAAATGATTTTTTGTTAAATATGTAACAAACATTAATATCTAGGTTAATATGAAATTATTATATAGTTAAGAATGTATTGTGAAAATATACTATAGAGAGGACAATAGAAATTTTTTTTATAGTTAATAGGGTTAAAATATAATTTTTTTTCATGCATTAGATCCCCACTTTGTCTATAGAATTAATTCTCTCGTCGTAGTAGGCTCGCTATTCCCACTGAATAAAGACGGGGTGGAAATCCAATTTTTATGCTTTTTTATTCTTTCTTTTGGGCGATAAAGATTCGGTTACGTAGGGTTAATGGTAGTAAATTGTACCGTAAAAGATTGTTTGAATTTTAATTTGTATTTTTAAAGATAAAAAATTTTAATTTAGAATCTTAAAAATAAAAATTTGTATCACTATGCACCACTAAAACTAAATTGATAAATTATACCTACATTCCTTTATACTTATCACTTAATTATTTGGACCCCTTTATATTTAGAATATAACTCCTAAATCTCATTAAGTTTGTGCACTTGTAACACGTAATCCTTTTTCATTGATATCTGTTAATATAACCATTAAAAATATGATTTTATCTTAATAAAAATTATAATTTCATATTACCCTTTATTTTATGGGCTCAATATACTCTAAAGTTCAAAATCAAGCTTACCATTTGAATGTCTAATAGAATAAAGGGTTGCACAATGAGTGATATATTGCGTTGGATATAAAAAATATTATATAAATATCTACATTCTATTAGACATTCAAATGATAAGCTTGATTTTAAAATTTAGAGTATATCGCACTCACAAAATAAAAGGTAATATGAAATTATAATTTTTTATTAGGATAAAATCAAATTTTTTTAACGGTTATATTAACATATATCAACGAAAAGGTGTTATGTGTTACACGTGCACAAATGTCATGAGATGTAGGAGTAATATTCTAAATGTAAAGGGGTCCAAATGATTAATTGACAAATATGAGAGGATCTAGGTATAATTTATCAATTTAGTTTTAGATGTATAATGATACAAATTTTTATCCTTGAGGATATAAATTGAGATTTTTTATCTTTGGGGATACACATTGATAAAAATTTCTATTTTTGAGGGTACAAATTGAAATTTTTTATCTTTAGAGGTGCACATTGATACAAATTTTTATTTTTGAGAGTGTAAATTAAAATTTTTTATCTTTAAGAATTTAAATTGAGATTCGAACTATCTTACATGATACAACTTGCAATTAACCCTAAACAAAAATCAATGAAAGGAGGAATGTACATTTCGTGAAAGGAAAAAACAATTTCTTTATTGAAATATATTTTGTCTCATTTCATCGTTATGAACTTAATTTCTATTCATGTCGTTCTATATAAGAGAAGAACTCCGAGCAAATGAACTTTCGGAAAGAGAAATATAAATGCAAGTTTATTCAAACTAGTAATGCACCACGTGCATACACATGAATAATTTTTATGTACAAAATATAAATAAAAAATATTAGATATTAGATATATGTGTATTTACATTAAGTTTTATTAAAATTAGATTTTTATAACTCGTATTATATTATAGAATTCAAAAAATATTATATATTTATAGTAATTCGTTGTTTTAACTATAAGAAAAAAAAAGCAATTCATTTGAAATTTGATTAAGTTTCAATATATAATTTATTAAATAAAATAAAATTAATTGTCAATATTTTAATCAATGTTTACTATAATTAAAAATTAGTTTGGTCAATAAGGATAAAAATTAGGATTAATAATATTTTTAGTTTCTAAAGTATACATTTTTTGTTAGTTTAGTTCTCAATATATAAATTCTATCAATTTAGTCTCTAAAATATTTAATTCTTGTTTAAATGTTCCCTAACCAAATGATCTATTAAGTTTTTTGACAGAAATGACCACGTGTCATTCCGTCCGATAATATTATGTGACCAACATGTAATCACTTCCATGAAAAACGTAACATATTTTTTATGTATGGATCATTTAAACATTAACTAAACACTTTAGGAACCAAATTAATAAAATTAATACAATGCGGATGAAACTTACAAAACATGCATAGTTCAGGGACTAAAAATACTATTATCCCTAAAGTATAATATACTATTGTATAATATATGTTTTAAAATAATACTAAAATTCTAAAATTCAAGTTTTTCTTAAAAATATACTATAATTTTTTTTATGCAAACTCTTAATAAAATATGAAAATTTATTGTGATTGAAGAATTATGTTGATTTAATAGACATTATTAAACAAAACTACTTAAAAGATTATTTTTTATCTTAAAAATAAAATGGTTGAAATTTTGGATAAAAAAAAATACACATATATAAGGATAATGTTATCATTAAATTTAAAGTGAGTGATATTTAATTGATGACATTTTTGAAACTTTCGTGAACGTTTTATTGAAAACTATAATGATGCATATATTTTTTAAGGGTAGCATAGTCAATTAAAAAATTTTATGGATACTGATATTTATACGTAATAAATAAAAAACTAAAAGAAATGTTATGGATAATTTAGAAATTTAAACACATAAGTATATGATGGTAAATTTAAATATTCAACTACGGAAGGATAGTGTGGTATTTAAAATTTTTTATAAGAGTAAAATATTAAATCAAAAGTTTTTTATGCCGAGACAAAAGTTTTATTCTTTATTAGTAGTACAGATGAAAATTTTTCATTGCAATTTAGATATTTAATTATGTAAGGATATTGTAGTATTTAATTTTTTTTATATTGGAAGGGTAAAATAATAAATTAAAAATTTTTCGCTCAAAATAATTTTATTAGTAGTATAGACAAACTAACTAGATCAACTCTAGCATAGCTTGCTTTCTAAGTTTCAATATAGGTAGAGCATTTCATAGAAAGAAAAAAGTGTTTTGTGGTAACCATTTATTAACTTCTGCTTCCTCCATTCTTCTTAGCTTTTAGTCTACTTTATTCTCTTATAGAGCATCTCCAACGGGTTAATTATCTGACATTTGTCAACTAAAATAAAGAATCAAACTACAAAATTATACTGAGGATTAATTATTTGGCTAACTATTTTATATTTGGGCTAAATGACTCTCTATTTTTGGCTAGCCTCCATAGTTAGCTATATTATATTTGGAGAGCTAAATAACTCTTTTTATACTCTAAGGGGGGATATTTATTTTGTATTTTGATAACGTATCAAGTTATGTAATATTTTGACTTAAAATATTAGTAATAGTCAGTTAAAATAGAGAATATGGTTTGAATAACTTTGTAAAAATGACTCTTTAAAATAAAAAATATAATATTTTAATATATTTTGAGTAGTTATTTTGAAGATGCTCTTAGCTCTCGTCAACTCGTAAAATAGAACAGTTATGAAAAATTAAAAAGTAAGTCATGAAAAATTTTGATTAATTAAAAAAGTCATTACTTGCGTCTAGAATCAAGCTCAATTCAACTCATGAGCATTATATAGGGCAAATAGTTTGGTTGTCGGTACTCAATGACACACTTTGAATAATTTCCTTTTTCTTTTTAACTTTGGCAACTAATTTATGAACGGAGGACAGAGCTTTAAGCCACAATTATAAAAGTCATTCCTTTTGCCTTTTAGGTTGTATGGCACAAGGGGTAGGCAGGTCAGTCTATAGAGCTAGTGAAAATCGAAAACAAAATGTTACTGTTTATGGATTGTGCACGGTATGTGAATTGAGTGGCTTTGTGTTTTTTTGTAAATTCATTTCAAGTTCTAATAAATTCTAATTTAATTTTTTGAACCAATTATATTAGATATTATGATATTAAATTAACTTATTTTACTAAACATCGATATACAAAATTGGTGGACCAAAAACTCAAGGACTATTTTCTCCCTCAATCAAATCAAGTACTTATAGACCTTATACAAACTAAAATTTTACACAATCCAGATTTTAATAAAATCAATTAAAAAACTCTAGAACAACATAGAATTAAACAATATGAGATTAAAAAAAAATAGAACACTTCAATATTATATCAATTAAACACGTGTATCTTGTCAAAATGTAGTTCCACCGATGACAAACTTTTTTATTTCCTCTAATTTAGTGATTCCATCATACAAGGTCAGAAATTGAAGTTATTTCAAAAATTTTTGGAATGGTTCGGTGATCAACTATAATTTCTTGCAAGCAAGAGGAAACAAGCTAGATCACACTGAGCCCGCCTAGGAGGGGAGAGAGCGAGAGCTGGAGCGGAAGCACATAAAGTGACAATATTTAATTACTCTTAAAACATTCAACTTCAATCCTTCTCATACCTCTAAAAGTTCACGCTTCCGTCACATGTCAGCATGTATTTTAAACTCCTTGCTTATTTGGGAAACCTTTTGGAATCCAATGTATTTTCCATTATGTCTAGCTTTACAAAACAAAAAAAGAACATAATGTATATATGACACCTTCCAAGCAAGTGATGAACATGGCCGTTTATCAATGTACGTTGTTCCCCTGGGTCAGCAGTAGCATTTGCAGATTGCCTATTTGGTTTGCTAAATATATATATCAAATAAGTGAGGGAGGAAACTTCGTCCATATATTGTACCCTTCTGCTCACTGAAAAATGACAAACCTTCTCATTCTGGCAACCAGGTGGGTGAGATTGAAGATTCAACGAAGCTTCTTGTCTCCGGACTATGTTTTTTTTTAGATGTAAATATTGACAAATACTTTTTCTTTCATTTATATCACGGTTTATATTGACGTGTGTTGAATTTCACTTCAAAGTTTATAAAGAAATTTTGGAATTATATATATATAAGAATAATGCCCTA